CAAGGGACAAAACCCAGGTCTCCTCATTGACTCTAGTAGAAAGTTCTGCTTGGAAATCGATAACACGATGCAGCCCTGAGCCAGAGTCCTGAACTCTGCACCCTCCTTATCCTAGTGCCGCCTGCGAGCTGCCGCCCGCCAGACCCGCTCCCCCGGGTCTGAATGGCGGCCGGGCAGCGCCAGCAGCCCGCGGAGGCGGGAGGTGCGAAGGGAAAGGATGCCGGCGGGCCCACGTGACACGCGCACGTTGCCCGCAAAGGCCCGCGTGCGCGTGTGGATGCGGCCGCGCAATCGGTCACACCTCACCTCGGTCAAGATGTGCGTGAGCCCGCGGAAATAAAGGCGGCGTGAGCAGGGCTGTGCGTGTGCCCCCCCCCCCCGGCTATTTATTTAAGCGGCCGTTCCTCTGATTCCCGGCTCTGGACAAGGAGCATCTCCGATACAAAACCGCATCGCGCCCGCGTCTACACCAAGCCTAGACCTGCTGTAATCTCGCACGTCTGGCAAGGGGGGGAGCTGGTGTGGGCATAGGCAGGCAAGGCTCTTTGGGCAGATGTGATATCTTTTATTAGACCCACTAAATCGTTGGGGGGATTGTTCTTTGCAAGCTTGAGGCACAAGCACCCTTCTTCACCACCCCCCGCATGCATGAAGAAGGATTTCTGTGCCCGAAAGCTTGCAAAGAAGAAGCTTTCTATTGAGCTGGTCTCATAAAAGATGCCACATTTACCCAAGGAGCCTTGTCTTGCGTAGGCATGGGCTCCTGCCCCCCTACCCGGCTTCTCCGGCTGTGCTCACATTTGGCCGCGTCTTTTCCCAGCCCTTGCCTCAAGCCGGGCCGGGAGACCCTCCCACCGCCCTGCTCCCGCCGGGCACACGCTGGGGTCTGCCCCGCTCCGCGGAGCAGCAGGTCTGGGCACAGGCCGGTTCATTGGCACTGAGGTCCCCTCTGCAAAGCGCACGTGGGAGCCGGGCAGGACGTGGTGCCGGCGGGGAGGGGGCCGGGCGCCCACGTGGCGCGGGGCACTTGCCAGGGGCGGCTCAGGTGGCGCCGAGCAGGGCAGGGAGCCGGGAGCGGGTCCCCGCGCTCCGTGGCCAGAGCCGGGTCAAGCACCCTATTGAGGGCCGAGGCGGGAATGCGGAGGCGGACCACCAACGTGCCTTGATCCCGACAATGCGGCACTCAATGCACTTGGGGCATGGCAACTGCCGGGGACCCCCTCTTTCAAGCCGATTGTCCGTATAGGTGTTTTCTCCTTTCCTCCCCCTCTGCCTTTGAAACGTCCCCACCCCCCTCACCCGCTCCTCGCCCTTTCTTCTCAGCCCCTCTCTCTAATTCTAGATGAGTATTACTTTGCTCTTTTCGTTGGCCAAGCACAATTGTGTTATTGGACATAATGAATTCAATCCCCATCAAAGAGTATTAGGAGAGCCTTGGCCCTGTAGTGGCTTTTTTTTCAAACTGGGAATGAAAGGCAGGGAGAAAATTCTCTGGGTAGCCTCCCTGATAGCGGCTTTTGAAGTGAAGGGGGTCGAGCATTGTTGTTCAAATTTTTGCCCATACGGCTGAAGAAAGACCGGCGGCTTTTGATGAGAAGATGAGAACCGCCTCGTAAGTTGAGCAACAAGTTAGATGGCAAAGTCTTGCCGCTGCCTACTGCCTGCGGATAACATATGTCCCGCATTAATAGAGGCTCAAAGGGAACAATTGCCCGGGCTGGGGGGAGGAAACCAGCCCGGATCGCACCAGCTAAAGGCTCTTTCTCTGGACCTGTGAGACACGAAATACGGATGCTTTACTGGAGGTTTGATGAGATTCTGCCTGGCGTGTTGGTGTTGGTTTTTAGAAATCTGGTCTTCTTTTTAGTAATCGCCCCCTCCACCTTCTGGTATGGAAGAGCAGGACGTTTCTTAGAGAGATCGTGATGTTCCAGTGAATACAGGACATTAATTTACCCCGAGAGGACGCGACCACTAGCTCTGCCCCCACCCCCTCGTCCCCCTTGTTGTTGGGAGGATTGTGTGCAGATCTGATTCCAAGTCTTTGCTTTTGCTCTGCGGCTGTGCTGGAAAACGAGGGCGATTTGCAGTTCCTCGATGGGAATTTGTACGTGATTTCTGTTTAATTGTCTAACTAGAGAGCTGGGTATTTTATGGCACACGTGTGTCGCTTCGTGTAACACGGTGACATAACGCCAGGTTATAAATTGCTTCCTTAGATAAATCAGCCGGGCAAGGGAAAAGGACCAGAAGTAACGTGTCTTGGGCACATCAGATAACCGCAGAACTGGACAACTTGTTGCATACCTTGCGGGAAATGCATCCATGCTCTTATTCCAGGTCCCTCCCCGGCGGAGTTCAGGGATCCCCGCCCCCAGGTCGTCATTATGCTAAAGTAGGCGATACAAAGAGGCACTATGGAGAGATGCCGGGTCCCAGCAGCAGGAACCACACCTCCTAGTTACCAGTCTGTTGACATTTTCCACCAGTCAGAACCAGGAGGAGCCGCGTGCTGGCGTGGAAGCAGGGCCGGCGGGGAGAGCAGAGGGAATCCAGGGGAGATGGATTTCAGCTACTGCACATAGCCCATTTCAAATGTCGATGATTGAACTGGGGAGCATTTAGGAGTCTCGGGCACAAAAGCAAAGCTTGCGATGCAACCGGTGCATCAAGTGCCCGGCCAGATCCTGCTCCTACAAGGCGGGGGCTTGTTCTGTTGAGTTCAGCTGGGGGCAGGATCATCCCCAGAGTTGCTTCCCAGCCCCTTTGCGGCAGGGATGTCCTGCTACCGCCTGTGGTATTTCAGCCCTGCCAGCACTGAGTGGATACATGCGCTGAAGCCGCAGGGGGGACTTGAGCAAGGCAGACCTCCAGGGTCACAAGGCACCCCCGCAAGGCCAGTGCAAGGCTCATTCACCGCGCTCCTAGGAGAAAGGGGCCGCACTGGGAGCAGATGCTCCTTTCTTCAGCTGATTAGGGCCATTTCACGTCAATTAACGACTCATTCTTCTCCCCTGAGGGAGCTGGTCCAGGGCACCATTCCTCGAGCCGACCGATTGCGGTGGCAGACACCTGCTAGGCGTCCCGGGCACCTCGCTTACGAGCCGCTGGATCCCCGCAAGTGGCTGTCGGGGTCAGGCGCCCAGAAAATGGGACTAATGGGATTAAAAATGGGGCGAAAATTGCCTTGAACAAGTCAATTTAGCAGCCTGCTATAGTCAAAGGCATTAACCTGGACAGAGCTTAATAGAGCTGGATCTCTGGGCTCCCCTCTCGGCAGGTGGGCTATGGGGGACCCGGCGCCCTGCCGCAGCGCGCTGTAGCGCGGGCCCTTCCCCCGGCTGTAGCGCCCGCCTTATAGCAAGGCTCCAAGGACTGATCTTTTGGTCTGTCTGGCTAGCTAGGGTGTCTGCCCCCCCCCCATACACACACACACATATTACCTTTACAAGGCTCCAGAGGAGAGAGTACATAGTACAAGGCTGAGATTTGGGAATATTAACTCTTTACTGGGCTTTCAGCCTTCTGGGTGGAAAAAACAACATTTCCCTCCCCCAGTAAATGAATCGCCCCTCTGCCAGACGCGGCTCTCGAATAACGAGATCTCATGCGTTTTTTAAAACATAATAATAACTGTAGTAAAACAATGGTTAAGAGTTACAATGAGCTTTCACTACCATCGTTCACCTTTGCAAAAACCAGTTGACTGAGTCTATTTTGCAGTAAGATTGTTCTTCCCGGCGATGGCACATTTCAGTGAACTGGGTTAGTCTGGGAAGGTTAAGAGGGGAAAGAAGAGAAGCTGACAATCGCCCCCCACCCCCCTTTATTTCGAGCAAAATGGATTTTGTCCGGAGCCTGAGTCCGTTTCAAACCCTAGTGACTGAAAACAAAGGTGAGGAGTGGTAGTTTTATCTGTCCAAAGTTCAAATATGTGAAATCTCAATGCGAGTTTCTGTTTGAGACGAAAAAGAGAAACACAAATACTACGGAATGGCTGGGGCTAATGACTTATCTGGCCTTAACTGTTACTTTGTCACAATGGGTAGAATAATTGGCGAGAATTAACCAGCGAGAGGAAAGTCAGGTTTCCTTATCATCAGTCACCCTTCGATTTCAATTCTTTATTTAACTCTTGGCCCTCTGGAAATGCATTATACGGGGCTTTAGACCTTACAAATTAAAGAGACCGTTCCGTCTAAATGTATGAGCTGCTGTTCTGCATTTGCAGGGAGACTGAGACACCTGTGCTTCAATTAAGGCAAATGACCTCTGTTTTGCAGCATCGGCCGTGGAATTTAAATCAGTTAACTCATTGTCATGTTTATGTTTACTTCTTAACTGGAATAAAACATGTTACAAAATTGGGGTTTTGCCTTAGGAAGGGAGAATCAATTAGAAACGACACATACCACTCAGCAATCCCAATATAATGCCAGTTTGTCCCTTATACCTGTGGGTGGGTGTGCTTCAATATGTCTATAATGGAAACAAGTGCATATTAATTATATATTTGTATATACAGAGACACAATTCGTGGATATATATACATCTCTAAGGAAAATCCCAGTCCCACAATCGGTGATGGTGGCTTGGTTCACATGAAATCAGAGCTATTAGTCCGAGCCTGCATAAACAACTATGTTTAACAAGTGTCTTTCTTTCCTTGTAGTTTTTAAATAGTTTTTTTTTCCGGAGGAGTCCCTCCTTCCCCGCCCCCCCATCTAGAACCACTAGTTATCATACTAGAAACAATTACTCTGTGCTACTTCCATCACGTGCTTTATATACAATATTGAAGCAAAATCAACACACATTCAATTGATTTTTTTAAAGGCTAGTTATAGCTGCACTTGGTTCGGGAGACGCTGCTCAGCATCGAGTGATCACAAAGCATTAAGAAGTCAACTCAGCCTAATCATTTTTAAGCAACGTGTGGAAATAATGTCAAAACACAAATGCGTTTTAAACAGGTATGATGGGGGTTTTTCCCTCTGTCTTTATCCAAACAGCTAAAATTAAGACAAACATAACATAAAAT